CAGTAGTGTCCAGTCTGTCACATTGATACGTAATGCTAGTGTAACGTGTTTATAATACAGTAGTGTCCAGTCTGTCACATTGATACGTAATGCTAGTGTAACGTGTTTATAATACAGTAGTGTCCAGTCTGTCACATTGATACGTAATGATAGTGCAACGTGTTTATAATCTAGTAGTGTCCAGTCTGTCACATTGATACGTAATGATAGTGTAACGTGTTTATAATCTATTAGTGACCAGCCTGTCACATTGATACGCTATGCTAGTGGAACGTGTCAGTGTGACGTGGTGACCAGTTTGTCCACATCAGGTGTGTGTTATACCTAACTTTAAGATTGACCCAGGTCAAACACTCTCTACGATCTTGCTAGTTTTTAGTATTGATAATCATTATTGTAAATGAAAAAAGGAGATAAGTGAAAAAAGATTCCTGGACTGGATTTCGAACTCAGGACCTCTGGTTAACAGGGTCATTGTTCTACCATAGAAACGAAAAACCCTCTCATAAAAATTACTGTAAGTGAAAATAACGGCTTCTACTCTTGGATAACTCGGTGGTAGAGTAATAGTTGTGTTAGCTTAAGATCTCTCTGATTCATAATAATACTGACAGTGTATTATATTGTTAGATGTTAGTTGAAGCAATGTTGACAGAAATTGTTTACCTGTTATCAGGCTAGATACACACTTTCTGAATGTTGTGACACGTTTGCTTTTGCTTTTTTAAATACCAGACTGCACTATGTTCGATGCTCCGATGTCTCTCTGCTAGGCCTGGATCGTTTGGCAAGCCTGTACCAGGGATTCCTCTGACAGTAAGTTACGTTCTACATGTGAGTTAGGCACAACCTGAGTAAGAGCATCTTAAAGTACAAGTCAAATTACTTTGAGTAACAGTTAAGTCAGTTCTTTAACTGGTGATTCTTTTTCGTGTAATTTAGTTTATGTTCACAAACGTCTCTAATCTAGATTATCGACGATGAAGAAAAGGAAACTCCCCCTGGAGTGGAGGGACACATAGTTCTGAAAGTTAAACCTCGTCGTCCAATTGGTCTTTTCAAAGGATATACTGTAAGTCATTAATAGTTCTACAATTACCTAAATTGTTTACAAGGTGAATTTCTTCCTACCAGAAAGCAATTTTAAAGAACACGCACTAATCGAGGGATTCCTGTATTAAGTTAAAACCATTTGCTGAAAAAAGTAAGAAAGAATGTTTAGTGCAATCGTATATACTTGGTTTATCTTGTCAAATAATGAAAAAATTTAAAAAACAAAATTAATATTTTACCGATATACAAACCGATAAACAAAGTCAGCGAAATTCTTAATACAACTAAAGATAAAATTGATTTATCGGATAAATTTGGCATATATAAAATATTATGTGAATGTCAAAAAGTTTATATGGGACAAACTAGAAGACATTTAAAATTCAGACTGAATGAACACAAAAGAAATGTTAAAAATAATAATATTACTATTTCAACTTTAGCAGAACATCTTAGTGAAACTAATCACACAATTCGAGGATAAAATGTTTTTTATTCTAGCACAACCTGGAAATGTAATTGGTATGAATAAGCGTGAATCTATTAAGATAATTAAATGTAAAAAAAAGTAAATTTAAATTATTGAATAAAGATGATGGACCTGACGTGAAATTAATATGTAAATATGTAAATTGTTGTTTTGATAACTGTATAAATAGGTATTAATTTTTGCAAAACATTACACTCCTGAGGATGACGCAAGTATTATGTCGAAACATGTAGAGTGTATGAGATTGTTTTCCAGTCCCGTCGGGGATTTTACCACTTTTTAACCTTGTACAGTAAGCTATTATTTTATCAATTTGGAGACTGGAAACAATCTCATTTTATTTACTTTTGTATAAAATAATCGTTGTTTTTAAATAATTTTTTTAGTTTTCAAAATTGAACATTACACACGTGCCCCCAAAAAAAAATAGAAAAAAAAATAGCTAAAGATATACAAGTTTACACAGTGTAGTGGAATACTTGTAACATTGTTACAGATATAAAGAGTTATAGATGTACAAGTTTACACAGTGTAGTGGAATACTTGTAACATTGTTACAGATATAAAGAGTTGAATTATGTAATACTGTATATGGTGATAAAACTTTGAAAACAATGCGTCGTTATTTAATATACTAAATATATGTACAAAGAGAACAATACATATATAAAAAGAAACCAGATTGTTAACTTACTTAAAGCAGCGTATTTTATATGTTTGGCCTTCCCGAGGATTTTATTTTTAATATGCATATAATTAGGTAAAGGTCTGCTGGATAGGTTGATATCTTGGACTGAAACTGTTATCTAAATAATCCAACAGTTATCAGTTTGAAATGTTTGTGTTTCAGAATCCAGAATTGATCTCTATGTGGAAGAAAGAAACCAACGTGTCTATCAGGGAGATTTATGGTCAAACCGAAACGGTAAGGATGTACGGATCACTAGAAACTTTGCTTGTCAGGAGTCAGTACGAATCACACATATAAAAACATTGCTTGTCAGGAGTCAGTACGGATCACACATATAGAAACACTGCTTGCCAGGAGTCAGTACGAATCACACATATAGAAACACTGCTTTTCAGGTTTAAATACGGATCACACATATAGAAACTTTGCTTTTCAGGTTTAAATACGGATCACACATATAGAAACATTGCTTGCCAGGAGTCAGTACGAATCACACATATAGAAACATTGCTTGCCAGGAGTCAGTACGAATCACACATATAGAAACACTGCTTGCCAGGAGTCAGTACGAATCACACATATAGAAACACTGCTTGCCAGGAGTCAGTACGGATCACACATATAGAAACATTGCTTGTCAGGAGTCAGTACGGATCACACATATAGAAACATTGCTTTTCAGGTTTAAATACGGATCACACATATAGAAACTTTGCTTTTCAGGTTTAAATACAGATCACACATATAGAAACATTGCTTGTCAGGAGTCAGAACGGATCACACATATAGAAACATTGCTTGTCAGGAGTCAGTACGGATCACACATATAAAAACATTGCTTGTCAGGAGTCAATACGGATCACACATATAGAAACACTGCTTTTCAGGTTTAAATACGGATCACACGTATAGAGACGTTGGTTATCAGGTGTCAGTACAGCATAAGAAGACATTGATGAATGTGAAGAAATCTTACCTACCCGCCAGCATAAGAAGGAATTTGAAGAATTTAAGGGAAAATGTTTAGTTTGTTTGTTTTTGAATTTCGCGCAAAGCTACACGAGGGCTATCTGCGCTAACCGTCCCTAATTTAGCAGTGTAAGACTAGAGGGAAAACAGCTAGTCATCACCACCAACTCTTGGGCTACTCTTTTACCAACGAATAGTGGGATTGACCGTTACATTATAATGCCCCCACGGCTGCAAGGGCGAGCATGCTTGGTGTGACGGGGATTCGAACCCGCGATCCTCAGATTGCGAGTCGAGCGCCATGCCGGGCCTGGATATGTTTAGAAACAGACCCTGATGAAGATAGAAGCCGTCAAATTTGATGAGGCAATTTCTCAGTACCGCCAATTATATGAAGAACAGAAGAATACGATGCGACAAGCTACTCTAAATAAGTTTTTAATAAAAAATCAGATTAATAAATTTTAATTCATTGCATTTTTTTCGTATTTTCTTATATACCTATACTTTGATTAAAAAATACGCAAAATAGAAATTAATCGTGAATGAGAATGAAAATTGAGGTACGAATTACACGATTTCCTATAAGTTATTATATTCGATTAGTGCGGCTCTTTTCGTTTAGTGCGCTTAATTTTTTTTATAACCAATATTCGATTAGTGCGCATTTCATTTTAACCATAGTAATTGAAAAGTAAGTTTTAGGCACCGAAATTATTATTTTTTTAATTAAAAATAGAAAATGGGTAAGTATTTTACTTAAAATAAAGTTAAAAATACTCAAGATGTTTGGAAGACAGTTCTTCCACACTGTGCACAGGACGTCACAGGCTTTTCAAAACATACATAAGAGGTCATTAAAGAGATTACTCATATTGGAAAAGAACTTGGCTTCGCTGAGATTGACGATGAAAATGTGCAAGAATTGCTAGAAGCTTATTCAGAAGAACTAACCAATAAGGATCTTATAAATTTGGACACTCAGAGAGCATATGAAGACATTGATGAATGTGAAGAAATCTTACCTACCCGCCAGCATAAGAAGACATTGATGAATGTGAAGAAATCTTACCTACCCGCCCTGTACGCTTCATGAGAACACTTATGATTTTAGTTAATCATAGTTGTCTTAAGACATTAGTATTATATTTTGCAACACTAACTTCTATAATTAATTATAATCATGCTTCACCATAACTTAGCACTTCAATTAATGATTTCTACAGCACAAGAAAGAGGACTTTTGGTTTTGCTTTTACTTTTTTCATCCGTCCTATTTTTCGTTAAAATGTATATTAAATATAAATGTTTCGGGTTTGGTAATACATTTTGGAATTTTGGTCAGAAAGATCTAAGATTTGAAGTAGTTATCGTATTCCAAGAAAAAATATTTGAAGAGCAGAGAGGTTTAAATAAGTATAAATGAAAGGCGATGCATGTGCTTGTGTACGTTTTTATTATTTTTAATACATATACAGGGATCCCTCGATTAATGCGCGGTAAGTTCACGGAGATACAATCCCGGAGATACAATTTTAATAGTAATTATGTTAACATATAACATGTTCAATTTACTTGGAAGTGAATGCGACTGAACAAAGGGCAATAAAATGTGTCTGTCAAATAAGATATCATTTTGTGTGGGTGTATATATATATATATTTATTTATTTATATATAAGTAAAAACGTTGTCGTAAAACCGTAATAACAAAAATTTTCCAAAAAAGTAAGTCTAATATAAGAAATCTTTCTTCATATAGCAACACATACACATTCATATCAAGGAAACAAAAAGAAATGCCAAAGAATCAAACATCAAGTTAAGTTCGCCAACAATATAGATCGTTATATCCACCGCGGGATTGTATCTCCGTGAACTTACCA